TACAATACAAAGCGAGAAACCTAATATTATGTCTGCCTGCTGAGACCTGTTAGAAACGATTAGTATTGAAAGCAGTACGTACGCCATCTGTTATTGAAAAAAAAGGCAAGTGGAATAATTTCTTCTCTGTTCCTAGATGGCTCAAGCGGCACCAAATGCACCAATTTTATTATTAATTGATAATAAATCTCTCTAGCCACTGCCTATTTAGGATTTAGAACGTTATTAATGTTAAAACAGTGAAATAAATATGATAGTTTTGTATGTAATAAATTCCGCTACATTTTGGGCTAATTTGCTCTACCGCCGCTACGCCGCTCTTCTCAAAATAATCCGCTACAAATAGCGGAATTCCGCCACGCATGGCAGCACGGCGTTAACATTTGATATTGACATGCACGGAAATAATCCTCTGCGCCGATTCTCGCGCATATTCTATAGAACGGGTTTTACATTTTTACCATGAAAATTTTCACAAGAATTCTTTTACGTGTAATACGACAGCAAAAATTTTCGGCATAATTATGAACATAATTTTCGGAGTAATTCTCTTGTGTGTAAAGCGGCTCTTAACTCAACAAATAATCATACGCTATAGTATGTTACATATACTTTTTTCTCTTGAAAACATCTCTCTTAATATGTGATAAAATATGGAGCATTCTATTTAAAAGAAGTTGTGAAAAAGTGTCAATTGCTTCAACAAAATGCCCCACATTCACATAGTGAATTTTATATTCTGGATTAAAGTACTCATAGGGTGTTTCAAAATCAGGTGTCACACGAAACCCTATTTCAAGATGACGCTTAGCTGCCATATTGAAATTTTCAATTGCCATTTTCATTAAAATATAGTATTTATGCACCAATTACTTCACTCCAAATTTCAGTTTGCTTTTTTGACCCGTTCAAAAAGTTGATTTTCCGGCTTCAACGGAATCGAAGAAAAATGAAAGATTATTGCAGAAACATTTCAATTTATTTCAGGTTTACAGAGATGTTTCACCTGTCGATCCAGGGGTGAATTGGGGAGCTGTAAAGATCCATTCGTGGTAAATGTGACGATAGTTGAGGCAAAACAAGAAATTGGTGTTCAAACTGTTCCTTGCGCTTCTGGTTGGTGCGGAAAAATTGTCGAAACTGAAGATACTGCCAAAGAAGGTGAGAACCTTGGATTTTGTGTAAACACGTATTTTTCGCAACAAGCAGCCAGCGGCGAATAATATAAAGCTTGAGTTCGAAGTTGTAGGAAGTATAGTCAATCTACTTGACGCCATTTTTTTCATAGTCACCTCGCGGATGCCGTACAGTAAGAACTAACATGTCGCCTACAAGCGAAGTGGTTTGACAACAAAATCTCTGGAAAAGTTTCTCTAAGGTTGATGGTTTTCGAGTTAAAGCGTTAAAAGGCAAATTAAAATTATCATCAAAAATGTATCGACAAGTCCCCAATGGAATGAGACAGCGCAAAGTGTCATCTGCCAGCAAAATCGACCACTGCGGAACTGTTGAAGATCTCAGTCTTATTTCAATAGACTATACCTCCTGGAACTATGATGCTATGTTTTCGTTTGTTGTCCCTGTCACGGGAGACCAAGCCTAGACCATTCTGATGAATAGCCTAGAAGCATGAAACAGCTGTCCATGGTTGGCTGTCTTTAGTGTTTCGTTTTCCTCATTGGAAATTACAGATTATTTTAATTTAAAACACTAGCTTGCATTTCTTTTATCGCAGAAGTAGGACCAACATTTTGCTACAAACAAAAAGAGTCCAAAGTTCCAGCAAAATATGATGGATGTAATTTCGAACAAAATTTCATTTTTTTGAATTAACGATTTTTTGCAGAATATGGAGTAGCTACCCAAAGGATGTGTCTGCAAAGGGGACCTTCAGATAGCGAAGACCGTTGTGCTTACACCAAATGGAATTATCGCAGGGTACTGATGTGTTTCTGCAAAGGGGATCTGTGCAATTCGTCCAAGAAATTGGAAGCTAATTTTCTAGTTTGTATTATTAGTACAATACTGTTTCATAGTCTGATATGGTAGCATTGAAAATTTGGATGCGATGTAAAATCAGTCGATCATGGTTATCCAACAATTTGAAATGATTGACTTATTACAATTTAATTCGACAAACTTTCTCAAAAGTTAGTCCAAGACAAGTAAAATTTTGTATTCAGTGAGGTCATATTAGTTACGTCATTCTACATCATGAGTGATGTTCCTTAACTGTTCCAATCGAATAGCTCTTGTAAGGTGGAACAGGATTTATAATAATATATGGAATATGATTTGATCGTTGATGTATCAAATTATTACTTATTTTGCTCAGCTATTCTTGTAATGTTAAAGATTATTTAAATAAATTATTTTTATAATATACCTTTTGTACTATTTTTTTTTGATGACTGGCATACAGTTTACCGTCATCGCACGGTAGTAGCGTGATAAGTGCCCATGAGACGGCGTGATGCAACTAGAAAGCGACCGAACATTTTCTGGTGAAACATGTTGGAAACGCGGTAGATTGCACGACCTTTTGCGTCACGGTTGCTAGGCAACGTGGTGATGACCTTCGCTCTTCAGCCGGCTTGTGTCTCTTTTTAACATGTGTTGATACACACTTTTCGCGCTTCTCTCTCGTACACATTGAACTCAAGCCGTCAGACAAATTTGGTTTTCGCTGTATACAGAGTGTTTCAGTTTATTGTTGCATGACTTTAAGATTCGATAGAACTGGTCGAAAAATGCGTGGCTTCCGAAACACAGAGTGTTTGAATTTACTTTCTAAAATAGTTTTTTTTAAATATTCCGAACAATATTTGATGTATAACAGTGAAAATTGGTATAGAAGGGTTTTTTGGTACGACAAAACGAACCAATAATTTTACTGTAGACGCTAGAGGGCGCTCTCTACTGTACCTGTAGTGTATTAAAATGACCGAAAATTTTTTGTTAGTGCAATTTTTTGCTTTTTGAATAAAAAAACTGATTCTTCGCACTTTTCAACATAAAAAATCTCTCGTGAGTTTTCGTTATAGTTAGCCGTTTTTGAGATATTTCGATTTTTAAGGTTCGATGCATTTAATTATTTATGATAAAATAACGTTTAAAAAGTCAGTATCTCGATAATTTTAGAAGTAGGGCTGTGGCCTGCAAAATTGTTTGAAATTGAAAGCAGAATAAGGTTTAACGTCAATTAGTTGACAGTTAGTTTGTTGTCTGTTGAAACCTGACAACGTTTTTTTGCAATTGGTGAATGTGCACGAAATTGTTATTCCTTTTACCTGGTTTATTAAAATGCCATTTATCTCCAATCAAGAGTTAGCGGATATTAATTTGTGTAGTGCTTGTAAATGGAAACGCAGCAGAGCAGCAGAAAATACGCACGAAGATTCCAAACAGACGACATCCAACTCGCTCAGTATTTGTAGAGTGCATCGCCAAATAATTGAAAATGGTTTTGGAAATCTCCAAAGGGATCAAAACATAAATGTTCGTTAGCGCAGATTTACCCGTTTGATTCTGCGTGAGTTTGATAGAGATCCGACCACAAGTGTGAGGAGAGTTTCTGGTGCCTTGGGAATTTCAGCAAGCCATGTTCTCCGTGTTCTGAGTGGTAAATTTTCATAATCAACATATTTTGGTCGCATGAAAATCAGCATGCAGTTCGGGAAAGAAATTTCAGCATGAATTTAGTGTGACGTGTGGATTGGTATCTACCGTAATCAACTATTTGGACCCTACCTTTTGCCTGCAAGGTTAAATGCTGGGACCTTCTTGGAATTTTTAAAGGCTGAACATGCAAATATGTGGGATGACGTTATGTTAGATTTTAAGAAGATTGGCCTGGTTCCAGCTTGATGGTTGTCCAGTCATTATTCGAGAATAGTTTAGAACTGGCTGGACGAAAAATTATCCAGAAGATGGATCGGCCGTGGAGGACCAGTCGCCTGGCCTCCACGATCCCTGACCTAAATCCATTAGATTTCTTTGTTTGGGGATTTCTAAAAGAAAAAGTGTACCAGACTCCCGTAACCACAAGAGATATGCTAATAGACAGAATCAGGAATGCATGTGATGAAATAAGGCCTTATTTGAATAATGCTATACCACGTTCGATCATTCGTAGATGTGAATTGTGTAATTGAACAAGTGGGTTAACATTTCGAGCAACTACTTTAGATTGTGTATGTTGTCCTAACTATCCAATAGCATTTTAGTTGTAAATAATTAATTTAATTTGTTAAAAATAATAATGGAATATTAAACAAATTAATATTCTGTTTTTTTGTGTTTATTTGGAGTTAGGAATTATTGCTGTGTTTAAAAACACAATCTAAACGATAATCTTAATTACTTGTAATGCCCAAATCGAAAATGTAAAAAAAATATTATTTTCCCATAAATAATTAAAAATGCATCGAACCTTAAAAATCGCAATATCTCCTAACTATAACCAAAACTCACAGGAGAGCTTTTTTATGTAGAAAAGTGCGAAGAATCAGTTTTTGATTCAAAAAGCAAAAAATTGCACTAAGAAATTTTTCGGTCATTTTATACACTACAGGTACAGTATAGAGCGCCCTCTAGCGGCTACAGTAAAACTATGCTCATGCTTCGTTTTGTCGTACCAAAAAACCCTTGTATACCAATTTTCACTGTTATACATCAAATATTGTTCGAAATATTTAAAAAAAAACTATTTTAAAAGTAAATTTAAACACCCTGTATTTCGGAAGCCACGCATTTTTCGACCCATGTTATATAAACTTTATGCATTAATTTTAAAGTTCTATCGAAGCTTAAAGTTATGCAACAATAAACTGAAACACCCTGTATATCGTATAAGACAGCCACTATTGCTCTCAAAAATGACATCCCATTTCTGAAACTATGTAGTTTACTATTATTTAGTGCAAATGTGTGATGTTACTTCAAAGCATATTATCACGATCTTGAATCATGTATATGATCGTTTTTATGAACTTTTCGGTTAAAGCATCATAATTGCTAAATTTTTAACAACTTTAGTGACGTTCCGGTTGCACCTATTTTTCAACCAGGTCAAAACAAAAACTAGATGCTTCGTTTTATTTTATATTTGGCAACGTTGGAGCGGTGCCTAGGAACCACTGTATTCTATTGGCGTATCGACCTTCTCCGAGCGTGGTGCGTGTTTAGAGCCGAGGTGCCGTGCACCCTCGATAAAACGGATAACCTGTTTGCTGCCTGAACCCTCGCCCGGTAGGGGTTGCAAAAACGTAACTCGATACGTAAGGTTTTGAAAAGTGGTTCGACACGTTCCTTAACAGCGAGGGTTCGTACATGATCAGCGGGAATGAAGAAAATATATTCTGCTCTCTATTAGAAGAAAAGTTACGACAGTATGAATCGATATTGGCATTTCTTTGACCTGAAATATGAAGTTGCAGACTACTTTTTCAAGTTCAATCTACGTCATAGAACGAACTGAACCAACATCGTCTGAGCTAGGCTGAGTCATTGTTGCTTGTTTTTATAAAATGTATAACCAACAGTATGCACATACAGTAATGGACAAATATGAATATTACCTAAATACCTTTAGAAAACGAATTCATACTTCATTGATCCATAAACAAATGCGTTATTAGTAGAAAACTAAATTCCTTGTTTTTACATTATCAATGAGGGACAAAAATATGTAGACAAATTCTTTTCAACATTAGTTTAGTACAGTTTCGTGTCAGAAGAGGATTAGTTTGTGTTCATCAACTATTGTGGAATAATTTGACTGATTTTAAGACCACACCGCGTGGTCCAGAAATTTCTTTCGATGTGAAAACTGAGCTCATTGAGTTATACAAAGATGGTCAACGTCAAGTCGACATTGCCAAAAATTTGAAGCTGAAGCGTAAAGCAGTTTGGGCAATATTGAACAAATATAAACAAAAAGGTATCTTGGAAGTCTCTAAGTGGTCGGCCTAGAAACTAAAAGCTAAACTCTGGGCGCTGAAGAAAGACATTAAACGTAAACAGTGATCAGCACGTGAACAGATCCCTCGAAAGCATCCACGGATATACTCCAGTCACTTTAGGTCTAAACATCCTCGGGAGTGTATTTCTAGTGAATCCACAGACCCTTTTTCGTGTCATCTTGAGACTAGAAAAAGGATGACTGTTAAAATAAGTTACCTTGATCTTTCATGAGCTCCCAGTACAAAACATCATCGATATATTTTTGATGTAGGAACAACAAATTGGTTTAGAAACATCCACTTTGAACCTAAATTGACTGGAGTAACATCGATCTACAGACAAATTCAAGGTCACTAGCAGTCGTCGGCGCTCTACGAATCTGCACAGGTTTGGACTTGTAAACGTGATTGTAGATGACACGACAGGCATCTAACAGTTAATTCACGCACAGGATTGCATTGCATACGCATTACGCATTCAGTAGCGTATACTCGTTTTTCGCGAGTGGAACGTATTGTTTATATATTGCCTAAGATACGATGTCTGACACAGATACAGCCGACGAAGTGATTGACATCAGCGCAACCCCACCCAAAAAACGGCTAAGAAGCTACATTTAAGTGCAAATGAAAAACAAATAATATTAAATATATACAAAAACCAAATTCAAGAAAACCCGATTTGGTCGTGGACGAAGTTATATGTAAGGTAGCACATATTTCTGGAGTATGTCGGTCCAGTGTTTATAGGATCATTAAGGAATATAGGAGCACTCACTCACTTTCTGAGCCAAAACCGTATCCTGCAAGAAAAAGGATAACGGACGGAGTAGATGACTTTGACAGAACTGCCATCAGGAGGAAAGTGCATAATTTTTTCTTCCGAAATGAGATACCTACAGTAGATAAGATATTAAGATTAGTTATGCTGATGAGGATCTTCCATCATTTAAAAGAACCACATTCCGAAAACTTTTGAAGGAACTTAATTTTCGATTCTTGAAACGGGGAAGAAACAGTATGTTAATAGAGAAAGAAGAAATTGTTGTGTGGAGAAGGGAATACCTTAAATAAATCTACTATTTGGACGAAACGTGGGTGAATGCTGGACATACTCAAGCGAAAGTATGGGTCGACAAATCAGTAACATCATCAAGGCAGGCTTTTCTAGACGGTCTTTCGGCTGGATTGAAAAATCCTGCAGGTAAGCTCCTTCATCTATCCGGCAATTTAATTTTGATAAATTCGGGCAAATAATATGCTGTGATAGCAGATAATGTGCGATATTCTCCAAAAATGGTGCATTCGCAGTGTAGTCATTAGGAA